CTTTATCTATGAAAAATAGCTCTGGAAAAAGCTAAAACACACTCAGTAATTTCCTTCCATGAAGTAATGCCTAGAAAGTTTCTGGGGCTGAAAGTCTCTGAAAGGAATTACAGCGATTTATTGATGGTCTGTGGAGCTTTTGATATAGATAGAGCTCTGAATCCTCTCTGTTTCCATCCAAAGTTCTTGAATGGTGGAGATGCATATAACTTTGACTGTGGCTGTCCACTGCTCAAAGAACTTTTCCTAATGGAGGTGGTTGAGGTGACACTGGCATGCCAGGTTTTTTACTAGGAGCCATGAGAAATCATTGAGGACTCTATTGGACCCACCTCTGCGGGCTCCTCCCTCTGGGAATGAATGGGTGAGCAGCTGAAGAAAGGAAAGCTGCAGCTGGATTGCTTACACAGCAGGGGTAAGTCGCTCGCCCTCTGTGGTGGAGGATATGGCTGTGGAGTTCCCAGCTGAGACCAAGATCAGTATGACTTTACAAGGCACAGAATGAGCCCCAATGTTTTCACAGCTATGGATGGTTCTGGTCACTCCTTTCGGACAGATACATTAAAGCAGAAGAAGCTGCTGAGAAGGGTGATGGTGAGAAGGAAAATCTGGTTTATTAGAGAGGAGTAAAATAGCTTAGCTTTTACAGTCTCACAAAAAAAAAAAAAAGCTGAGAAAAGGTATATTACTGGATGCAGATAAATAAAAAGTAAATTCCAAGGTGGGAAGCATCTATTTAAGTGAAGAGATAACGAGTGCAATCAGAAGTAAGTAAAAGCTAACCATTATTGTTGTCATGAAAGAAATTAAAAGGTTTGGTGTTAGTAGACAACAGCTCTTCTGGAATAGCCTTGGCACTCACAGCAGTGCACATGAAAGCCTGACTGATTTTGCAATGATGCTTCACCAGTTTTTGAAAGGGATTAGATTATATGGTACCTGTGGTTATCAGGGGACTGTACCCAGTGATTTGGGACATCCTTTGTATTTGTATGCAGAATAAGATGGATTTTTGCAGAGCACCTCCTTTCAATTGGAAAAAAAAAAATTAACTTGTTCAGATTAATCATCTTTATTGACCTTTTGGCTACAATTTGAACTTCAATTATTGCAAACCCACCCTTTCCCTGTGTTGTAAAAGTACGTAGAATCCCATGCTTGCTTTTAGTGGTGGTTAAAGAATAGAAATTGTTGGAATAGAGGGAAACATCAGAATATGGTCATGTTCCTTTCCCTCTGCCTTCTCTGACAGCTGACCCTAAAGTACAAATGTAGCCAATAGCTTTGCCAGTGAGCATGGCCCAAAAGGGAGGATTCTACATTCACTGACTAATGTAGGTGTCTTAATGAATGAATGAATGTTAAATGTCTGACAACCTGGTCCCAACCAAAGAATACATTTTAAGGCATTTTCAGGCTTCTTGCTATTCCTTATAGAGTTATGCAAGAGCTGCCACCAGCTCTTCTATGAACTAGGTATAACAGCACTAACAGGTAGACTGTGAACCCAAATTTTCCTCAGACTCTTTCCTGCATGACAGAGCATCCAGGGAATAATTTCCACAATTCTGCACTTGATTTAGTGCCTGAAGATATGAGAGGAAGTGGGAAGTAGATTTGATCTTTGTTTCTTTTTCTTGGCAATTTTAATTCATGAAAACACTCTCTGTGCCCCTAATCCAAGTCTTCCTCTACTGATCTCACTCTCTTCTCTACAGTTGTTAGAACAATGGGATATTAAAATTGTCCTAGTTTGAGAAGAAGTTGCTGTGCTAGCTAAAAAGCTGGCACCACATCTTCTATTCAGAATGCTGCATGCTGGTGGTGTGTGTTCAGATAACCTCTAGCTACAGTTGAGTAATACCACAAATGGGGAAAACCCCAGAGAAATAGGAAAATCCCTAACTGTTTGTGCATTGTGTAAGTATATTTTACTTAGGCTCCTTGCCAAAGAAGATATGAATCAAAGATTCTCCCTGTATAGGAGTAAAATGTAGTATCATGTTCAGGATCTTATTTTTGCATAAAAGATGCCCTAGGCATTTGTAAAAGAGAAGAAAATTTCCATTCCTGTTTTAGTGTGTTATGTTTTTTTATTGCACTCATCACTGAAAATTCCTGAAAACAAAAGATATAGAAGTGGGAGAGGAACTTGGTTAATTCGAGTTATTCTTTCAGACAAATGGTCTCTTTGGGCTGTTATGCAAAGTGATTGTAAAACTCCCCCACCCACTTGGTATTGTACAATAAAAAGAAACACTTAAAAAAATAAGAAATTGCTCTGTGACCAAATATTGCTGTAACTGGCAAGTGTTTGTGCAAATATTTGATCATTTATGTAAACTTTCCCAACAACTCCTCACCCAGAACACAACCAAGTGCCCAAGAATGACAAAACATCTCCCTACCAGATCAAAAGTCACAGAAGGATGTTTCTTTCTTTCCTGTAGAACAGACAAAATAAATGTAAGAGTTCAGATTAGAGGATTCCTCTATGCAATAGTGAAAACTAATAATTAATTAGGATAGACTGAAAGGTATAAAAGAATTTCTTTATCATGCCACAGCCCACAGAAATGGGTGTTTTGGTTTTTCTCCTGCAATATATGTACTTTAGTTATTGTACATTCAGTTTTCAATTTTCAGGTGTCATAACAGGGGGATGACCTTCTGTAATTAAAAAGCTGAATCCTTTGATATTTGTGAGATTTTTTTGTTGCTTAATTCAGTGTGAACTTGATTTTTTAAATGTATTTTTTGCACTAAGGTTTTAACCAGGAAGAATGGTTAGAGAAGTTAAAGATGCTGTTCTAAGAAATTTTGACTGGCAATTGGGAACTCTGTCAAGCCACCTAACCAAAATATTTTCAACTGTCTGGCTCAAAATGGGAAGTAAAAAATATGGAAGTAATTTGCTGAATGATCAGTCTCATGAGAGATTAATTTCTTCTAGTAAATAATGACTGAGAAATTAGTTGATCCAGCAGTTCCTTTCAGAAATAATTAAAAAATATCAAATATTTCTATGATACATCAGAAATTAGGTCTTATCAGTTACTGTTTTCAGTTTTTCATGGAGATTTGAGGAAATTATAAAACTTTTGAAACAGAAGTATCCCAGTTTTAGAAAAGTCATGTAAAGAAGTTTGGTATACTTTATTGAATCATAAAATGGTTTGGGCTGGAAGGGAACTTTAAAGGTCATCTAGTCCCCTGTGGTGAGCAGGGATAGCTCCAAGGGGAACAGGGTGCTCTGAGCCCCATCCAACCTGGTCTTGAATGTGTCCACCACCCTCACTGTAAAATATTTTCTTTCTTATATCTGATATAAATCAACTCTCTTTTAATTTAAAACCATTATACCTTGTCTGGTTGCAACAGGCTCTAATTTGAGTGTCAATGTATTATGCTGTAGAAGCAGCCAAACCAATATCTTTAACAATATGAAATAATTTTTCTAATCTTCAGTCTATGCCAGTATATGACCACATCTGTCTTGTTATAAAACGTGGTTTAAAATACCTTTTATGCATTTTTACTTTTTTGAGTCATAGTAACAAATTGCCAATAGTAAAAGGTGACAGCTTATGTCCAAAAGTGATTTTTAAAAATAGAACTGCCAAAAGGACAGAAGAATGGGAACTGATGCAGGTTAGACAGTGGTCACTGCTTTTCCAAAGGCCTCCTTTAGGAAGGAGCTTAGCTGAAATGAAAAGCTGTCATGGAGGACAGGACACATTCTCAGGTACCCCAGGCAGCTGCCCTCCACAGCGGAGTGAATGTTCTGCCCTTTCTCACCTGCAGCAATAATATGGTTTTGCTCCACAGCTTTATTTCCGAGGAGCGCAGGATTCCCTGTGGATGAAAGCCTCCTGGAAAACCAAGCAATAGTTATTTAATGATGTCCTAATGCTTGCCCAGGCTGTAGCCTCTGTGTTTCAATTCAAAAATTTCTAAATGTCCACCAGAAGAATTTTGCTGGCTCTAAAGCTCACAGACTGTTGGCTTGTTGACAACGTCCTAAAATGTTTTAAAAGGACTGAGAGCTGCAATCCAGTTTGAGAGGAGACAAGGCACTGCCTGTTACTTTTCTGGGTGTGATACAAGTATCTCTGTCAACAGGACACTGCTTTTAAAGGAAAGAACATGAGAACATATATTCTGTATGCAAAAGAATACTGGTATAAGGGCTATGCCAGAACAGCAGCAAACAGTATTTGCTGGCTGAGGATTAGCCTTTCTTTAGAATGTCATGCATAGCAGTCAATGTAAGATTTGTTATTTTTGTGCTCTACAAAATTTTAGTGTGTGGTTAAATGTTTATTTACTGGGAAAATGGATGTAGTCTGTATGAAAGATAGCTGGAAGCGTGTTAAAATCTCAGTGCCAGGTTCACTTTGCCTCTTACAAAGACACTTTCCCTTGAACACAATAAGTACTGTGGCTGAGTAATTTAATTTTCAGTCTTCTAAGCCAGATGTCTGAAATAAAAAGTCTTATTTCTAGACTTCATTTGCAATTGCCATAATACTTCCTTTCTAGTAGGATCTTCTAAAAATAATAAATATTCAATGATGTTCTAGATATCTTCCATTATAAAATCGTTGGTTTTTTTTGCCCTGGTGAACAAATCCATTGTAGAGTTTAATGAAGTCATGCATGAACTCTTGGTCAGTAGGAATGGCAGTACCATATAAAATTATGCCTTTATTTGATGGAACTCTTACACTTTTTAAAACAGTTACACACCTCAGTAGAAATACATGAAAATGAAGATAGTGCTGATCTTGTGTCCCCATATGTATCAGGTTGTCATGTGCAGCACTGATGTGCTTTTTCACTGTATTGGAAAATAATTTTTTTAACCTTGAAAATTATTTCTGTTGTGGACTATGAATATGTTTACCTGTTTAAGGTATATTTACTTGTGTACAATGACTGAGCGATATTTATTTTTATGATTACCTCAACTTTTAAATTATTTTTTTTTCTGTTTGCAGGGGATTCACTGTAAAAGCAAACCTTCTGGTGAGTATACATAATTTACATTTTTACTGTGTTTGTTTTTAAAGATAATTTATTAAAGATATTAAATCCATTAAATCCATTAAATCCATAGTGACATCAGATCACTGTCATGACAGGATATTTACCACCATTTATTTAATAAAAAAACATTGGAAATTGGTAGGTTTTGATAAATATTAGGTTAATCATGACAATTACTTTATAGTTTTCCTTACCACAGGGAAGGAAAGAGAGTTTGCTAAGTCATTTTACATGTTTTTATTGCTTCTACTCTTTATTGGTATTGCCTATAGTAATAATACAGGGCTTGAGTGACCCGACCTCTGAAGCCTCCATCAGTCACTGCTCCAGGGCACACACTCATTTGCAGGGGAGTACGAGGCAGCTGCCAAGCAAACACTCCCCCTGAGAGGACAGTGGCAGTCCTGCATGAGAGGCCAGTGATAATCCCCACTGAAGGGACAGTCCTAGTCCCCACTCAGAGGACAGTCAACCTCCCCTGAGAGGATCATCCTAGCTGGAGGCTCAGCTCTGAGCACTGCTGGTCTCCAGAGTGCCTTTCCTGAATCCACGTGCCAATGAGTGCATAGACACAGCTGGCACAAATCCTTACTTGGAATGCATGGTAGTTATGGGATTGTGTTGTGATGGAGAGAAAGAATATGCGTATGGAAGGGATGCAGTTAAAAGTTCCACCAGAAAAAATCTATAGTCTTCTGCCAGTAAGCAGAGTGAACCTTTGGTGGCTGGTTCAGGGGGTGTAAATGAATCTTGTTGGGATTAGGCAGCTGAGCTGGTAGTTGCACAAACTGTGTGGAAGGTAGAAGAAGAAACAGGGGTGTTGACCCTTGCTAGCTGAAGCATGCTTTTACATCCTTGAACAGTCCAGGCTGAGAAAATCAAGCCTTTCAGCCTGTTCTCAAAGGGAAGAACACCCATAATTCTGTTGATTATGAGTTAAAATCTTTGCTGGGTGTTACACAAATGCAGATCTAGATAGTGGAGAATCCCAGGTGCCATGAGGTGGTGATTCATTCCAGCTGTTTTAGGACAAGGGGATTTCTATGCTGGGAGAGAGGCAGAGGGGATGTCACTCTGTGTTGACTGCCAGAGCTGCTCAGAGCATAGACACAGCCTGGCTGAGGTTGGAAGGGACCTCTGGGAGCCATCAGGTTCAACCCCTGATGCAGGGTCGTGCAGATGATGCGCATCAGATAAGCTAGATGTTTCAGATGTTTCACTCACCTGGAAGGGCACTGAAGGGTTTGTAAACTAAAGATCCATATCTTTGAAGATGATGTACATGAAGCTGGTTGTAGGTTTTTCAGTGCTGTCTGAAAAAACTTATCAGCTCTCTTCAACACAAGTAACATGTAGGATGACTCAGCCTTAGAGGGGTGATGAAAAAGCATTTTTTGTCTTCATCCTAATTCACTTGTGCAACAGTGGGTGTATAAGTAAGTGTTTGCATGCTTCTTTTTCTATATTATTTTTTAAAATTGTTTGTTATTTGAGATAAAATTACCTTAAAAGACCTTAACTATATAGTAGAGGACTTTTGCAGTAGTAATTTCTTTTAGCAGCAACAAAAAGATATTTCCTAAAATTTGCAACCACCACCTCAGTAGTATTTGGCAGTGTGACTTTGCCTTCCTCCTCCTGTTCTTCTACACTATTAGGTAGCACATAAGAACTATTGTAGTATTTGAAATTCACTGTAATATATCCATACATGGATATCAAAGTACCAATGATTTAAAAAAAATACATTTTCAGAAAATGTATTTGGCACAGTAAATCACAGTATTGTTCAATATCTCTAAAAGTTTGAAAAGTTTTCTGAACACACAGCCATGAAACCCTTTTAATTTACTGTGCATTGCAATCTCTTGTGAAAGAGAGGCTGTCAGTCTAAAATTTAATCAATTTCATAATTGCTGTAAGTACTAACAAGTAGTGAATTTTGGTACTTATTAACTGAAATGCACCATGTGGTTATTGTAGGACACATATCTACTTTGCTGATGAATTTTGTTGACTCATCCTAATGAACAGATTCAGCAGATACTGTGGTAAATCATATGCAAATAGGTTTGAAATACTACTGTAATTTATACTCATGGAATGATGTGCCAGTGAAGCAATTCTAGTAGGCTTTAGAGTTGTTCACAGATTTAGCACTGTCAGTATCCTTAAGTAGCTCAGATTCTTACAATACTTGTAGGGAAGATATATCAGATAAAAAACCAGTTAGGATTTTCTATTGGGTCTTGTCCCAGTCTTGTTATTAATAGGTTTTCTCTGCCTTTTTTTTTTACGCTCTTCTCCAATTCCATCTTCTTACCTGAGGCTTCAAATTATCCATCTGTTCATTTCTATTGTGTATCCATTGCTCAGCTCTGGCTTCTATTATCCAACTGTACATAAGGTGTGATTTGCTGTCGTGACAGTTCTATGTTGATTGCTGCATCATCAGATTAAACAAATTATCTGCTGTGGTTGAGCTGATGGCAAAAGTACAAGAAAATGTCTACATGCTGAATAATAAGCCTTGGTTTCTTTATGCCTGGGCTTATATGTGCCCATAATTAAGGAACCTTTTATTAAAGCAACAATCCCTCTCTCATGTAGGGCTAATTACAGCTATTATTCATAAACAGAAACTTTAGGTATGATTTACCCAACAGATGGTTTGTGTAGCAAGATGTATCTTTATGTCTTCTGGGATATAGATAAAACTACTTGTGTGAAAAGGAAAATGGGGTGTGTTCCAGAAGAAAATATCTTAAGGGGGGATTAAAAGATGATAAAGTAGGAGTTTACTGAAGAATTAGTCAGAAATGAGTCTCATACTGTCATGATTTATACAGCAAAAATTATTTTCTGTCAGGTCATCCTTGTATCATGTATTTACTGTAATCCAATGCTAGTATCCTCATGCATGGTGTGATCCATTTAAATTATTATTAATGAGTTTTGCAGCATGTTTTGCAATTCTCAAAATCTATCATAAAATTAATGGAAAAAAATCCAAAGCGGAAGAGTAATTTGATTTTATTCAATGCATTACATAGTTGTTCTCAGTTTGAAGGTAGAAACCGTGATCAAGGAGAACAGTGTCCCTGCTGATGGGACAGCAGGGTGTTTGTGCATCTGTCTGATGCAGATCCAGTGTCAGTAATGCACCCAGGTTGACTTAGAATTCCCCTAAGATAGTTCCAACCCTGGCACATCTGAGGATATCATACCACAGGCTGTAACAGCTAAGGAGAAAATTCAGCTAAGTTATGACTGCTTCCTCCCCCTACCCCATAAAAAATGAGGTCAAATACACCCAAACAGAATGCTTTGTAAAGACCTGTCCACTTTGAATATCTATCTATCTATCTATCTATCTATCTATCTATCTATCTATCTATCTATCTACATACATATGTCTACATACATTGCCCTCCCCTTAAATGATTTCTATGCAGACATGGCAACAGGTGAGGTTATAAGCCTGGATCAAGAAATTTACACCAATAACCAAACCTTAATCAGAAGCAGTTACTCCCAGATACCACTGTCTATCCACAACTGCATCTCATACAATGCAGTCAGGAAAAAATATTTTTGAGCAAAGAGCTCAAGCTGATCATCACTTATCACATTATTAGTAATAATTATCAAGCAATTCTGCAATATGATAAACTCCCAGTTAGTTGTGGGTGGATTAATTGTGCAATAACTTTCCATCCTGAGATATCTTCAGGATTATTACACCACCCATTCTTGGAACAGGGAATACAATGTTCATATCCAGCTGCTGTGCACTGTACTTCTGAGGGCTGTCTAATCTCTGTGGAAATGTTTATAAATTCTTCAAAAGTCAAGGTACTCCAACTGCTTATGTGTGTATTTTGAGTGATCCATGTTTTTTTCATTAGTTTGCACAAATTGTCTTTGCTTGTCAGTATTTCTTTGGATAATTCAGAGTTGACCTACTGCCAGTTGAGGTAAAGTGTTCTTGTTTTCCCATGCTTTTCCACTTGGTTCATATCAGCATGTCCTGTTGCCTCCAAAATAAGCTCAGTGGCACAAAACCAGGCTAACAGAGTGGAGATTTGGGTGTGAAGGGTTTGTCTCTTCTGACTGTGTATGTGATATGTATCTCACAGGACTTACTTCTCCTGATACCAGGTGTGAGGGCACTTAAGGCCTAACAGATTTAACAGATTTAAGTGAAGGTGCCACATTTATGTCAGTCTGTCTTCACATCCTGCAGTATCAGTATCTGATCTTTGACAATGGCTTTCAGCTGCAACTGGACACTGGGAAAATGAAGATCTCATAGGATAGGAAGAAGTCCTGTTCAGGTTAATACACTTTCAGTCTTTGAGCACTTTCCTTCACTGGAAGGGTTGGAAGGATAGATAAGGATAAGCTTTGTCTTTCCTTCTTCACCATACCTTTCCTCCCTGAGATCTGTGGATGTGTCTTCCATGTGAGTCAATGAGCATCCACACGTGACAACAGTTCTTGGCTTGACATTGATGTGCCCTTTCCTGATGATTCCATTAAGAGTGCTATCCTGAATTTTATGGCAAGCACAGTGTTGTGGCATGTCTGTTTCATACTTCCATACCTTTTGCCATACTTGATAACTCCTTCTAGGAGCATTTTGAACAGCTGAATTATATGAATCAATTCTTTTTTTGTTTTGTTTTGTTTTGTTTTTGTTCTAGCCTCTCACCGGGGGAAGGACAAAGTATTGGTCAATACAATACATTTTTTTTTACTTGGGTGTTTTTAACTTTCATGCTGTCTATGAAAAGAGAGAAGGCTAGGAAATATTTCAAAGAAATAGTAGTTACAGCTAAAAAGAGCTGTGCTGCATTGCATACCACAAAGCCAAGGGACAAAACCTGGTTATCTGTTCTGATAGTCTCTTGAATTACTAGTTTCTGGGACAATAAACAATGGATGTGAAGTAGAGAAGCCTAAAGAATGCATTGGGGATTAAATCCACTGCACCAACATAAATTCATAAATAAAGACCTGATTTCTGTGTAGGGCAGACTGAGAAGTAGAAAGAGATGAAATATGCTAACTGATGAGGTTTGGGGCCTTAAGACTATTTTTTCCTTTTTTCCTAGCCTACAGTTTTAGCTCTGCAAACCCATTTCCTACGGCTTTGGAATGACTAAATTTACAGAGGGAAATAGAAGAAGATGTAGTAGCTGTGTTCTGTGGATTGGCCTATGGATTACTGTGTTCTGTGTCTTGAAGAAGGCCTGGATAATATTTATTCTGCTCTTGCTGTTCTGGTCTAAAGCAGAAGGAAATCCTGTAGGTGTAAAGTACTCTTCCATGACTAGGAATGCAATGGTGCCCTCTTGTGTGAAAGTGAAATTTTAACAGCAATGGAAACCATCAGAAAGTCCTAAAATTAAAGTACTATTATGAGAGTGCTCACATATACAGGTAATGGTTTTGAAAAAAGTTTATATAAACTATTAGTTTAGTCATGATCGAGCAGATCGAATTAATTAGAACCAGCATTAGTCGAGGTGTGTTCTGCTAACCTTAGTTTTTAGAAGTGATTGCTTCCTCTTGTGGGTTAACATTTCCCTAAGCCTAGAAATTTATCCCAGCCTCCTAATTAGCCATGTTTGTTGCGTGAAAATTTCAGGTAAAGTACTGGCTTTGCTGGTCACTTTCTTACTGATTTCAGGAGAGCAGGAACTTCCCCTGTGGTGCTTGCTCTCCCCCGGACATCCTGTGTGCAATGAGTTTTTTCTGCCCTTATGTTTGCATTTGCAGGTGGCATTTTTAACAGCTTCTGCCATGATGCTCCTGCATCTTTGTCTTCTATGGTACTGAAAAGCATGAAGATCTCAACAGTGATGAAATGTGTCCAAGGAAGCCCATGCTCTCTTCATTTAAACATTAAAGGAACACTGAGTCTGGATGGTAGGAATCAGCTTTGCTACTGAGCCCTTTCTGTTCACTTTCTGTTTATGGCCATTCAGCCAAAATTTGTTCCATATTGTAATATTTGGGACCAAGCTGTTTTCATGTCATGTTCTCAGAAATATATTTTTGTGAAAGCATTTTGCTACAAAACAGGATGAAGCTGTGACCCTTCTCAAGTGAATGAGAACTGAGATAATGAAATCTGCCTTCCAACATAACATATCTAACTTGTCCTCTGCCAGTGCCCCAAGCACACAGCTGCCCTTTTCTTTCTTGCTCTGCCATCCATGCACACACACAAATTCTGTCTGCTCTGACAATCTGGACATGAGTGACTGCCTCTACAGAAGGAGAAACAGTTTATTCATCTGAAGTCACAGTTCTGCACTACAAGAAAATGAAAGTACATGAACTTCCTGTGCATAGTCTATTTTTACCTTGCCATTTGTGTGCTTCATATGTCACCATACAGATAATTCTTAGTTGCTTCACTCAGAGTTAATAGGTTTATTTTAAAATTTGGTAATTAAAGCTTCATTTATAGCAATTTGTCTTAAATCCTTGTTCCTACTCCTATGTGTGAGTTATATATAATGTTTCTTTTTAGACAGAGATACATGTGCCTTTCACTTAGAAGGAAAGCTTATGATATGGTGCATTTTAATCTATGTTTTTGATCTTCTTAAAGATGCTTAAATTATATTTTTGCAATCTGTTCCTAACTAATTTCAGAGAATGTCCGTGGGCTGGAAATATGTTCTTTTTCACTGGACACACAGCAATCTCAATGCATAAATGTGAGACTCACTAGGAAAAAAAGCAAGATGCTTAATGGAAAGAAGGTAAACTCCTTTTTGGGGGGGAGTAATTTTTCATTTAAACGTTTACAAGACTTTGGAAAAAAATTATTTTGCATCTCTCTTATTTTTTTCTTATTGACTTTGTGGAAAACTACAATGAAATATACGCTTCAGCACAGCCAAATGAAACTCCACAACAAAATTCCCCTTTACAACATATAAATTCAATTTTCCACCATCTTTGTACTCATTCTGCTTACCTTTTGACAAGGGAAGATGTCTCTGCAGAGCCTAATTTTCATACCAGTCTTGCTACCTTTCTTTTTGTGCCCTCCAAATTGTGTGGAAGCTTTTCTGACTCCAGTGTCTAGTAAGAGCAATGCTACAGAGATTTTAAGTGCATATTACTTCAGTCAAACCATGTCAGTGGAGTTTAGACATCTAGAAGACAGACAGGTGCCTGAGCACTTGTGCTCATCTGTCCTAAGCCCTTTTAAGGGGCAGTATCTGTTCAGGGGAAGTATTTGTTGCTAAAATTTGCAGCTGAGGAAAAAAAGAACCACCCTTGACCAACTGTTGGAAAGGCACGGATTTTTGCAGTTACTGGTGGATAAGGGTTACTAATCCTGTACACAATGTGTTGCTTCATGTGCTCTGTACAATGTTACACTGATTGCACATGTGGAGCAAAGTTCTCCCGAACTGCAGCTGCAGTTTGCACTTGGTGTGTCTTGGTGATGGAACATCCATCCCCTTGGCAATGCAGGGCCACCACTCAGCAACCAGCAGCTTTTAGAGTAAGGCAAGTTTATAGGCAAGAATCATCAAACATATTTACTGAAATTTTTCTGGTTTTGGTTCAGTGACTAAAATGGTGACATAAGACATCTTGTACCCTCCAAATGCCTTTTACCAAATAGGAGACTATCCAACATGAAAACCTACAAGGAATTTAATAGTTATCTGATAGCAGTGAGGGAATGACCTGCTACAGCTTGACCTCAACTTTTGTTTTTTAAATTACTTTCTGTCTCATAAACTGTTATTGTAATTAATACATTTTTTGAAGTTACCATTAAATATTTAAACAGACTTGTTTTCCATTCTGCAAATGTTTGTGCTTGTAAAATGGGTATAGACTGGGGCTTTTGACTTTTTTATGCTTTTAGGATTATTTGATATCTTGTAGTTATCTGGATTTCTAAAAGTGAAGATGATAGCAACATCCTGGATTAGAAATAATGATACTCTTTGAAATCCTTTTATTAAGTCATATCTGCTACTTTTACATTCCTGCTCCTACCTTATTGACTGCTTAATGCTGATTTCAAATTAAATATACCTGAACAAAGAGTATTTCTTTCTTAAATATCTTAACCAAAAGTTTTTCTGTATCGGGAAGTCATGCGTGAACTCAGTTTTATCAATGTTTTAAACAGGTACAGGTACAGTTCAATTGCATTGAAGTCAATGTAGCACAACACATCTATGTGACCATGAAAACTGTACCATATTACTGTGAAGTCAAGCTGAGTCAGCAATACTATGTTGAAGGTAGGAAACATCTTAAATCAGATGCTATTCAAGAAATATATTGTAAAATAAAAAAACCCCAAACCAACCAACCAACCAACCAAACAAAACCCTGAAAGGCAAAAGCACATCCAAATCACATTCTGGGATATGGCCTGACACACTGACCTAACTGATGGTAGATCATGTATGCCAGGACCACTCTTAGTTTACATTTCAGTGACTTTTTTTGTTAGCAAGTAAAGGTCTCGACTTGATACAAAACCCAGAGTTTATGTCTAAAGGTATGTGGAAAACTGAATTTACACTATGCATTTGTCCCTGTCGCCCTTCTCGTGCTTGGCACGTGCTCTTTCTGTGCCTGCAGGTTCAGCCCTGCCTGCTCTCTGTGCCTCAGATAGACCTTCTGCTTCTCTGCATGGGTGGCCCAGGCGTGGCTTCAGAAGCTGAGGAAAGCTTAATAAGAAAGCTTAATAAGAAATGTATTTTTACTTTCGTTAACTAGGTGTTCTATGGCCTGTTTACATGTAACAGAAAAAGATTACGTAGCATTTTTCTATGTTTTTGGGGTGAAGTGCCCACGATTTTTTTAGAAATTATGCCATGTGCATACAAAAATAGATTCAGCACTGTGGTCCAATCAAGATGCAGTGTGGCCAGAGAAGGAAAAAGCAAAAAATTACTTGAGACCCCTTGTTCAATCCCAGGCTGGGATTGTCCTGCCTTCCCATCTCCAGAGCCCATGGATGGGTGGTTCTTGTCCTTGCCCCTTGGTACAGTGTCATCCCTGCTGTATGGTTTGACACTTGGGTACAAGTAAGGCCTTTTTGTGCTTAAAAAGCCTTTAATTTTCTTATCAGTCTGCTTGACTATTGTTGTATATAAGTACTTTGTGAACAAAGAGGGGCGGAAACAAGGTTTCATGAAGCCCAGTTTTAAGACACAGTGGTGAGTGAACAAATGAAAATAAGAAATACTTCTTGGTGGAAAAGAAGTACTTCTGGGGAAATTAGAGTAATGTGCTGCTCCAATACTGTGTTATGTAAGGAGGGGTGAAAGCAACACATGAAAAGTTGTTTTAATGTTCTTAGGAGTTAAGTTGTGGAGATAAAAATACCAGATATTCTGAAAGTGCTGCCCGGCTTCTAATTCTGGTAAGCTCCCTAGGGGCTAGGTAGGGTATTTCTTTCTAAGGCTGGGGTCAGAATAGCAAAAAACCAGAATTATTGGTAACAGAGAAATGAGCCTGGTAAACAACAGGAGTTGATTTTCGAGGAAAAAGTAACAAAAATTAATATTATTACTCAAATTATTGTTACATTCTAGGTAAAGAGGTGTGGTGCTATATCCTCAGCTGCAGCCTCAACTGCTGATGAGGTTCCCCAGTAAAAACCCCAGACAGGGGAGAGAGGTCCTTAAGGCATATTGTCATATAATCTCTGTGTGTGGGAAGAGTACTTATCTTTTTTGCAGTTTATCTAAAAATGTATGCAAGCCTGCCCCTAAAAAGAGGGATGAGAGAGGTTTCCTGTTGGGAATCTATGGGATAATTTGACAGTTTGTTTACACAGTTGTGTGAATAAAGCAGCACTGAAACAGACTCTGCCTTCTACCTTGCAGATTGCAGAAACAGTGATGTGGGAAAATATATTCCAGCTTGTTTGGGTGAGCTGATCTTCTATGCAACTTAGAGCTGTGAGATATTTCTGGTGACCTATACAATGACATGTTTTCATACTTAAGTGAGCAGGGAGAAAAAATTATGATTTCCAACTGTCACTACTTATAATTACCATGTAGTTGATAGGTAATGTTCTGGAAATGTATTTCTAGGTATTTCTATTGAAATGGTACTTGGCAATGTTCTGGAAGTATATTTCTATTGTAAATGCTACATGGGAGGTAAAGGTTTTGATATTCTATTTGATTTCTGAGCTTTTGGGAATAGATTTGTGTTCTTTTAGTGCACTTTGGATTGCTGGTTTTATGTTTTGTGTTATTGACAGACCTCATAAATAGATTGAAATTGATTTGCCAAACTGCTATACTGCTTTTGGCATACCTGTGAATATATGTATAAAATATATTCCTTCCTCATATTACACTTGTCTATCATAGTTGCATATTCTTACATTCTCTATGTAAGAAAATTACAGTCTTGGGATAATCAGCCCTTATAGCAGTATTAATATGTATATTTCAAATATTTGTGCATAAACTACATAAGATTCCAAGTACTAAGGTTGAGGTAGAATTGGCAAGTGTCTTGGGCTCTCAGTATTACAAGTGCTAGGCTAAATAATGTTGAATGAAAATTATGTCTCATAAAAAAAAAGAGGATTATTAGGGTATAAAGTAATAATAATTTCAAATAATCTAGGTAAGATTCTATAGATGTTGAGTTTCATCTCCATCAAATGATGAAATATATTCTGTACCTTTTATAAATACATAAAATGGAAATAATAAAGTTATAAAGAAACAGATGTAATAATTTCATGCTTGATTTTATTCTTTTTCCAGCTGGAAAGTTAGACTATAATTTGGACAGGGCAAAGAAAATTGTAACAGTGAATGTATCCAACTTTCCCCGAGATCAAGATTATTACGTTCGCCTGTGCCATAAATGGTTTACCTGTGAAGATGCTGGGGCATTTGCTGTGGTGAGCTAAACTCACGGTGCTTTGGGGAACTGGGGAGGGTGCCTTGCAGGTGGCAATGCTCATTGAGGTTATAGTTACAGGAAATGCTATCTATGTCTATATCTATAGCTATATTATCTGTATCAGCTACATAATCTATATCTGTATCTATCTATATAATCTCTGTCTATGTTCATCTATATCATCTATATCTATATCTATAATTTATTAAAAGCATTTTACTGTCCTGGATTTATGACCATCTTTTTCATTTCAGATAAAAGGAAAGGAATCTTTTAAATCCGTTTCTCTGAAATATTCTCAGCTACTCCCTTGTCTTTGCATTGAGGTAATACAGTCTGGAATTTGGTATTTATTTGCGTTTCTGTTAAAATAAATTTTATCAGGCATTTGTGCTAAGAAAGGAGGAAAAACCTGAAGAAAAAGGCTCCAGACCCAAGTTTTTGACTAAGGCTTTTTTTGACCTTAGAATCACATAAATGTAAGGAAGAGAGTTTTTAGGAAATGCTAATTAAAACATGGCAATCAGAAGAAAATGGGATAAAATTTACAATAATTCATGGAATATGTTGTGTAATATTATTTTGACTGATTTTTAATAGACAATTGAAAGACAGAAGACATAATCAGACTGAATGTCAGCAGCATTTGATATAGTATTGCATGAGAAACTAAAACAGGAATTGAGGAAACTGAGAGCGAGAGCAAGATTTAAGTGGTACATAATACCTGGCTGCAGGGCTAACTCAGCAACTCCTGTTGGATGCGCCTGTGCTGGTAGGGAGGTTATTTAAGGATGACACTTAGAGTCATTCTCACATAAATATTTCCATCAATGACATGGGGACAAAAATGCAGGAATGTATAATGGGATTTGCTGGAATAATCCCATATTGCTATAATCAAAATGGAAGAGGGTCAGGGTGATTGGAAGAGACTAGAGATCTTCATATGTGGCATAATTGAAGGATGATGAAGTGTAAAGTGGGAAGTGCAAGTTCATGCATTTGCTCTGACAAAAAGATTTCTTGCTGTAAGATGTGAGTCCTCATTTAGAAATAACAGTGGAAGAAAAAAGATCTGGGTGAAATAGTTGATCACAGGGTGATTAACTAGCTGGCTTCCATGATGTCTACATGTAAACATGAACAAAAGTCTAGTGAGTTAGATTATTCCAAGCTAACAGGAAAGTATGGGCAAGGTCTTCCTTGAAATGCTGTAAGGAATTCTTGTATCCATATTCAAGAAAGATTAATTGAAAAGGAAAATGCACATAAAAGATCTGCAGTGACTGGGGAATGCAGAGGCTGTTTTACAAAGGAGATTCAAATACCATCTTTCCATTAGCCTGGTAAAACACATGCAAATATAGACCAGAAGGGTCACTTATAAGGAAAAATAAGATATGTTTTAAAAAAAAGCCATTCTTGCAATGAGAATGAAGGTGGATAAACTTCATTCCATGAAGTTTATCAGGATAGTTATAGATTTCAGGATATATATTCAGGATAGTTACAGATTTCTATGAAAACCTGAGAAGTGAGATTTTGGAATGTCTTTCATACAAGGAATAAAAGATCCCAAACAAATTTAAAATTATCCTGATAACACAGAAAGATGCTATGTGAACCTAGTTTTCTCACTGAATTTTGGGGTTGGATTTACCTTGCAGATTAAGATATCTAAATGTAGATAACCAGATATAGATATCTACATTTGAATTAGGTGAACAAACTCTTAAAGTCAATGGAGATCTAATTAATGCAGTCAGTTAGTCAACTGACCAAAGGTAGATGGCCTATCCTTTTGGGATGTGCTGGACTGCATTGTAGATTCCACTGGCTGCAATGGCTAGGTCTTCATGAGGCTACTGTGATAGTAATTTGGGCACTTTAGTGACACTTAGATGTGTACATTGTGGGACCTAAAATCACATACCTAAATAGGCAAGCTGAACCACAAAGTCTTGTCAAAGCCTAGGGAATTTTTTCATTCCACTCTGAAAATATGAGGTCACTAGAAAAATTTCATTTCTCTCAGTGCATACACAGAAAATACTGCAATAGGATTGCTAAGCAAACAGATGGGAACTCCAAATAAGAGAAACATTTGCACATAGATCTAAATAAATAGGGCATAGCAGCAGCCATGCATGTATACTTGAAGACTGGGTTAAGTGTTAGTCTTCAGATTTTAAGGATGCATCCTTTACCATTGCCCAGGCCAGAAGATCTTATATTATGATTACTGAATGTTTTGTTTTCCCTAGAATGTAATGACACTGTAAGAAACTTAATAAAAATCAAATTAGAAGATTTTCTAAATGAAATTGAACCAAATATATGACTTAGAAATAGTAGAAATATAGTGTTAGAAGGGATCACATTAGTTCAATGCCCCTACTGATGAACAACAAAATTAAAAAATAGTGCAAAACTTCTTTTAAAAAAATTACTCTCAAAGCTTTCTAACAAACATAGTGTCCTTATCTTTGGTGGAAAAAATTCTGTCACATTCTACCAGAAATGTTAAAAACATGTGTCTGACAACCTCTAACTGATGTCCACTGTTTGCTTGTAGGGCTGGCTGGCACTTCCAGATGCTAGGAGAATACAACTTTGCCCCTTTGAAAATGGCAAGTACTGTGTGCTTACTCTTTATAGGAGTGACTTTCAGTGGCTCCATTAGTATGCCACAGTTTAAATTAATCTGCATTGAAAATAATGTATTGCAAATCTTCAAGGAAATAATCATATTGGTTTGTTTTACTGTGGGTAGATGAAATAACTTTCAGACCAAATAGTTCACCAAGTTTATGCCAACAAAAACACTAAGTAACTTTCCAGTAATTTCCCACATTTTCTTAAGTGACATGCAAACTGAGCAGAAGGAATAAAAGATCAGATTAGAAATCGTGTGATAAGAGGGCTTCAGGGAGATATTTGAGGGTGTCCAATACCCAACTTAAAAGAGGGAGCAAGGAGTTGAAAAGGGAGACAGTTAACTATATATGAGTTCTATGTTTAACAGGGAATTATTCACTCAAATATTCCAGCAAGATCAGAAATTGGTCTGAGATGACAGCTCAGAAACAAACAGAAAAAAGGAAAAAGAAATTGTCTTATTTGCACACATATGAAAGTAATTTTTTTACCAGACAAATAGAAAAAAGTGTGGCCTAAAAAGTGTTTTATTGTGTGAAGTCCAAGATTTTGGTTTAAAGCACATGTAGAGATACCAGACTTATTAACTGTGTTGATCCCTGTCTGGATATTTTGAATAATGTTTTCCCTCTCTCTTTGTGCACAGATACACAGGTGCTATGGGACAATATTGTTTATAACCCATCAACACAAACCCTTGCCTGGGAGCCAGCCTGTCCTGTCCTTGTCATGGTTAACCTATGCAGGTTCACCAAGTCGAATGACCATTGTGAAGATATAGAAAAATCTTTCAAAAATTCTTCTGAGAAAGTAAGAGCTGTGTGGATTTATTCAGACTGTGAGATTGAAAGGCACCACCAAAGGCATAATGTGAAGAGCTAGACTTTGGAAAAAGAGCAGTTGCAAATTCCTCTCTTCTTCTCTGATACTTAGAACTATTCATAATCACAGTCTGTCCTTGCACACTAATCACATGATTTATTCAAAATAGTCACTGACTCATTATAAAGAAATAAAAAGTGGAGATGACTGGGCAGCTGGTAATGTTTGCTAAATTCTTTGGGGTAAATAGGATCTGCTTTTTATTTATAGATTCCCTTAAAAGTAAGGGGACAGACACACTGTGAGGACAACTCTTCTCATCTGTAGATAGGCGTAGTAGGTTGGAGGGATTTCTCTCTGATGGTACCACCTTCTTTTTACTGCCACAAGAGTCTCTTGTGATTAGATCAGATTTAGATATTTAACATTTAGACACCAGAAATGTAAACTAGATGAAGCTAAATCTCTTTACATATTTCTGGAGAAATAACAGTACTCTGGTAGGGCACAAATGTTTTGTAATTAAGATCTTCCTGAAGTGCCTTCCTCAACCTGGTCCATTGTCTCGAAATTGTGGGTGCTGAAATATTGTGTCCCTTCATTCTTCCAGCACTTATTTTCTCAAGTTGAGAAAGGTTTTCAAATGTATATGTCTTGAATGGCTTAACACTTCAATCTGACATCTGATGATACTGAATGCTCTGGCTTTTTGAGGTTCATTAGAATTCATTTTATCATGAAAAGTAAGTTTCAGGTTCGCCTGATTGTGGAGAGAAGGCAGTAAACTTAAAGTAACAATAGAAAAGGCAACACAAGAGATTAATTCTGAAACTTTTGGATTAATATTATTATTCTGATGACACGATTGGGGAGGGGGTGGGGCTGACTCAAGACTGTCAAATGCTTTTGTGATTAGGAGCTCCTGGCCAAGCCTTTAGTGATTGTTCAGATTCATCATTTATGAGTTCCAACAAAGCTTTGATCTTGAAAAAACAGATTAATTTAATTCTAGATGTGAGTGATCCCTGTGGGATTATTCATCTGCTGGCAACAAGTACAATTCATTGCTTGCAGGAGAGAAAAGGGGAAAAAATCCAAAATAAGACTAAAATGGGGTCTGGCTGGTAATGGTTGTATTTGTCACCAGAACAGAAACCAAACTTATTACAGAGTACGAGTGTTTTTTTGTATTTACTGATTGCATTTAATGACTGAACATTAATATTAATCATAGAACCATAGAGTATCCTGAGCTGGAAGGGCCCCACAGTGATCATCAACATTCATGGATAGAATGGATTCTCTTTTTTTTTTTTTTTTTTTCTCCTCATTTATTCTGACAAGTTTGATATTGAATTTGGTTAATTTGTTGTACTGTAACCCTGAAAACCATCTCTGTAGTATGCTGGAAACTACTGCAGATTCCTCAGACAGGGCCAGCTGCCCTGCAAATCCAGACAAGGTCACACTCTGGTGCTATGCACATATTCTGACTTAGGCACAAAAGCTGCTTCACTCCTCTTTACTGAGGCTGGGCCTTTCTCTGTCCATGACAAAGCTGTCCCCAGGTTTGAGCAGACTCCTACAGAACCATCTCCTGGGACACTGTTGTTATGTTCTCAAAAGCAGTTACAGGAAGGAAATGTTTGGCTGTGTAGGGTGCTCAGTCACTTGAGCAACAGGGTTTATTTAAGTAGGAGCATGTGTATAGCAATATGTGTAGCTATTGTTTATATAAGACACCTCTAATATTGTTTATATAAGACAAGGCTCTTTGTGGTGAAGCCCTTGGTGGGTAAAAAACTGTTATTCAAGAAAACAACACTTTGTAGATTGCTTAAATGGATTTCTAAAATTCAGCCTACCTTTCACTGTTCTGAAATATGGGTATGGAAAATTCAAAGATTTCTCAACTGATGGTGGAATACTTCTGGATGTGTGTTTAAGTGTTCTGCTGAGTTGTTCATGAGTGGCAAATAAGGGGTTGAAACAAGTTGACTTTGTAATCAGAATTTTGCAGAAGTCACCACAGAATCAATTAATTTAGCTCTAATGGGTCAGTCTGACCATAAAAATGCTACATATTGCAGATGAAAAGAAACAAACTATTCAGTAATCCAAAGCAGCAGTTGTTTCCAACCATTTTATGTCATTAACTTCATGGGATGTTTATGAATTAAACAAACCAGTTGCCTTCACCAGTAATCAAGCCAGTAATCAAGCCATGACAATTTCAGTAGTTGATTTTATGAAACTAGCTAATAAAACTAGCTAATCTGAGTGCTCTGTCTTCCAGCAGGTTAAATATTTTCGTGTGGACACTCACCCAAGACTTTGTATGAAGGTAAAAGAATTTCTTTGTAAAATGCATATTAACTGCCCTTCTGTCTCTAAAATAAATCAGCTGCTGATGTTCTTTATGATCAATATTTTTGTTTCATAGCTCTGATAAATGGGAACTGAGAATGAAGGAAAAGTGAAGGATTAGATTAGAAGGTGATTGTTTTGAAGTGCAACAGCAATGATAGATAGGACACAGGTCAGATTGTTCCTTTTTGTCTGTTTAAGAAAAGCAGGAAAAAATGTTTTTGGTCAATGCAAATTCTGAAGAATGTGCTAAACTTAACATATAAAGCTTTTAATAGTAAATATTTGAAAATAAAATGATCAACACAGTACATTTAATGGAGAATCTCTTATTATTCTAGTTGAAAAAAAAAAAAGAGCCAAATAAGGCAAATACAGGCATATTATTGTTTTCTTTTAGATTACTTTTAAGTCAGTGGGACCAGATATTTCTGTAAAATATGCATGATTATAAATACCTGAAGAATTAGGGGATCTAATTTAAGTCAAATGTTGGAAGATACCATAAAGGAGGAAAGCTGTGAATTAATCTTCTGCAACTCTCTAACTTTCTGGAATGCCCTGATCATCACTAGTTGAATATTTTCCCACAGATTGAAATGGAAAATCTGGTTTTCATAACAGATTTCTCTGCTTTCAGTTTACAACCAAACGAGGATCTTGGATTAAATGCCCATTTGCTCATGGAGAATTTCCAGGTAAATACATATTTTAAAAATTGAATAACATTAGATTGTGGAAAATATTTAAATCACTAGATATGAGCTGTCTCTTAAGTGAGAAGTGTTCACAACACTGTAAATTGTAAACTAAGTCAAAGAGATTTGACAGCTTGTTACTTCTACGTATCCTCAGTAGAGATCTAGTGTTCATCAGTATAAAAAGTAATTTATAGGAATCAAAATAATTACTTGCATATCATTTGATAACACTTAAAAACACAAAAAGCTTTTATTTTAGGCATACATTTTAGAATATACTGTATGGTCCTTGTACATCTAAAAATAGGTATTTTCCCCTAATATCAGCCTGGAAAATGAGGATTGCTACAGCTGCAGAACAAATACAAGTTTTCTTCACATCCCGAACCAAGGCACAGTTCTCAGTGCTTGTGTGTAACAGGACGCAGATGGCTTCATGTGAATCTCTTGGGATGCACCATTCAGTCTCTGTGGTTTGTATATATTATTTCTTAAACATTGTAAGGCTTTTAAGCATACCTAACTTCATTCATTTATTATTCCATATATTGTACTGCAGCTTGAATCCATTAATAAACCATGTACATATTGGAACAATTACTGGAACATTTTAAAAGCATGTAGTTCTAAATCTGATCTCACACTGAAACAAGAAATAAATAAAGATCCTGAAGTCAAATGAGTCACATCAAATGATGTGACTATTGAGTGGAACTTTAATATTCTTTTAATGCCATTTTTTGTAGTGTGGTGTTTGTATTATGTATATAGCAAATGTTACTGTTAATATTTCATATATGGGTCACTGATATAGCTGACCTGGCAAATCACACATTATCAAATGTAAGACTTGAGGTGTCAATTCCTGATGAACTCTAAATGTCACAGCTGCCAATACAAACTCAACAAGCAAAAAGGGTTTGTTTTCAGCCAAATTATCTTTTTGAGCCAGCTGATTTTGTAGCTACACAACTGCTTCATCCAACAAAATGGGGACAGAGTGGGGAAGCATTATGGGAGGGTCAGATTTCAGTTTCAGGCAGCAGCTGGTCATGAGAGCCTCATTCCTCTCTTGCAACTTCGTCTATGTTCCAGACACTTTCAGTGCAGCACTCTGGTTTGCGCTTTGACCCTGCCTATCAGTTACCTTGTTGGCCCAAACTGTGATCTGCTGAGAGACACATCTGGAAAGTGAGGTCAAAGAGCAAAAGAGAGGCCATAGTATTATTTTTCAAACAGGAGGATATTAGCAGGATAGATCCCAGTAGCTACTAGGACCACCATGCTGAAAGACATCCATCTGGTTCAGCAGCCAGCTCCTCAGTACTCTTAGGTCCACTGCTACATATATGCTCCAGCTGTCTGCTTCACTGACCAGCTACTTGAGATGGCATATGATGAATTTTGAGAAATTTGAGAAATCTAGATATTGTGATTTGAATTGTTACTCCTGGCTACGCCTGTTGACTTCACTCCACTGTAGGGGGATGTGCTTTAGGACACACAAGCATAGCTCTCACATCTGTCCTCTCTGTAAGGTATATACCAGCTTTGTCACTATGCAGGGACAGAATGCAACTGTGCCTTTTTAAGGTTCTTGTGATTCTTCTAGTGAGGAGAGTGCACATACCAGGGCTTAGCTAATGACCAGGCAGTTATGAACAAGCATTTCTTAAACATAATGGGCTGGATCCTGAATGCTGAATTTGTTTTCTAATGAATCAATTTAGATTGTTTTTGCACCTCTGGTGCTGAATGTAACAGAACAGCTGATAAAAAAACACTCTTTTTGAGTTTTCCAACTCAGCTCAATCTGAGGACATGCATAAATGGAAGATAATAACTGTTCCTCTAGGAGATCCCAGATCATGGCAACAGGCCTGGGAAAAAACTGCTATCCTAATTAACACAAACAGAAAGGGCATTGGTGATAATATCAAGAGTCTATCCTCATGGGAAAAGCTGTCTGGAAAATGGTGTATTACTGGCAGAGATGGAGATCTGTATGGTAGAAGAGTTGTCACCACTCAGGGAAGGTTCCCTTCAGCTGGTCTATTTCACATGAAATCTTGGAGTTTATATTTTCTGGTTTTAAAGGTTCCCAGTGTGAATAGCTAAGTGAAAGGGGTAATGGTGGAGCACCAATAAATCACAGCTAGATATTTCATGAAGGCACTGATGCATTTAAAAATGCTGTTTTCTTCCCTTTGGTACAAAGCTGTTATGTCCTCTGCTACTGTGACAGAATGGGACCCCACATAAATTACGTATGGTTCCTGTCTCAATACCATGAGCAGTACAGACAAAGTTTTCATCAAGACCTCACTCTGTGTTCCCAGAAACCAATGTTTATTAGTGTAGAACCACTAATTCCTCTTCAGTCATGCTTGAATATATTCACCTAATTTCCCCCAAATTACTTTAGGAGTTTGCCCCCTGAAGAGGGGGTGTAGGATGCATAGCTATTGGTGGAGTAACAGACATTATTTTGAGGACAAACCATAATCAATCAAATATTAAATGTCAAGCCAGTCATTCAGGACAATTTTACCCTAAGGCTCAGCTTGTTCTCTGCATACAATGGGATGGGAAGTCCAGCAGAACTGTAAAGACAGGATCATTCCTTCAGCTCATACGCCAGGGAAAAGAAGTGAAGATGATGGGAGGAAGCAAACAGTGAGGGGAGAGTGTTCTCCTTGTGATGCTCCATAAAATACAGTAACATTAGCCCTCTTCCTGTGCTGCCACACTGTGCTTGGCAAAATTACACCAGCTGCTTATGGTCATTGAGATCTGGGGTTAGCTCTGAAAATAAATATCCTTCCATTAATTTTCTAACACAGTAGAACAGTAGCATTATTGGAAACCAAAGCAAAGAACTGGAGAGACACAGTATGTTTTCATTGTTCCAGAGTATGGAAAATAGTGATTTTCATTTTCTTTTTTTCTATTCATTAGGGAGATTCTGTTTCAATCACTATGTCACAGGAAATGTGTGGGTCAACAATTTGCATTCAGGTATGTGTCTAGCTTTTGCCAGGTACCCTGTACAAAATAAACTAATAAATCATAAAACACCAAGCAAACCAGCAGGTACTCTCACTGCTTTCTCCTCCCAGCTAAATCTCATTACTGTGCAAATCGAGTTGGCAAAGAGCATTATTTAAAGCTTGGTATGCTGCCACCACTTTTCTTTGAGATGACATTAATTAACTGAGAAGTTGCTCTCCATGATCTTGCTCCTTTGTCAGTGGCAGATAAAAGGATATCATCAGGATATTGCTAATCCTGTCTTTATATGTTCCTTCATAAAAAAAAAAAAAATCCAAGCTATCAAAAGATCCAAGTAAATAATAGATGAATTTTCAAAAATTGACTTTGACTAGAAAAGGTGAGGCATATAGTAAACAGCACAGCAAGTGCATGGTGTCCTAGAATTAGCACTCAGGAAAGTAGAACTGAGCAAATTATTCCTGACATTTCTGCACACTATTTCTGTAGCTGAACTTCATGAAGAAATTTTGTTGATAGAAAATGAGCATGAAGCTGATAGGTTTATGCCTCTCTGAAGTGAATGCTCTCAGCAGACACTGAGAGAAATGAAAGTGAGAGTGGAGCTCTGAGGCTCCAGTAGCTGCCCTGGAAGGCCCTTCTCTGCTTCACTTTCTGCTGCTGGGAAGAAAGAGGGAAGATGAAAGTGAGATTGGCAAAAGCCTTCTGAGTAATGAGAGTAGTAGTTCTTTCCCTAGTAAGAAATGAAATTTGGTGGGGAGGCTGATAATTTCCTGCATAAATTATTTATATTGTAAGTTAGACATTATCTGTCAGACAATAATAACAAAAAAAATTGTGATTAGCTTTATCATTTAGAGACTTAAAAGTGATTGCAACTCACTTAATATACACTAGACCAACAATTTCCATATGTGTATATTTAAAAACAGGTTTAAAATGCAGTCACTTGAGTAAACTAATAAAGCAATCTCATTTTGTCAACACAAGTGCTTAGTAACAGCTCTGCTGAAAGGGGAATAAGCCTTAATTCTTTCTTTTGAAAGGGCTGGAGAACAGATGTAGATTATTCAGTTCCACTGCAGATCTGTGATACCTTCTGTGGTAAGTAGGCATGTTAAAAAAAGAAGCGTTGGGTCTTGATTCTGTACAAGAGAACATTCCAGGTGAAGTGTGTTTTCACTGGGAAACTGAGGTGGGATTCACCTGACTGAATGTAGATGTGTACATGAGAGCTAGATGTGCTGAGTCCTTTATAGACAGTGGACTCGTACCTCATGAGCTGCTTTAATTAGCTCTGCGAGGGCAACTTGTGTGGCTGGCTGCTGCCTCTGCTTCCTGGGTGGATTTTCCACCCTGTGCCAGTTTCTGTGTGTCACACCTGTATTTACCTTGGTGTCAGTATGTGAGCTAACTAGCTAAAAACACACCTTGGCAAGAGGCACACACTGCTGCCGTTGCAGTGACTGCAGCACAGCCCTGCTGTCAGTTCCCCCCCTGCAAGTGGGACAGCAGCATTTCCCTCCACCTCCCAGCAAACAGGAGTTTGCTTCTGGATATTATAATTATGATGATTTGAAATGCACTCAGATACACTATGGAGCCAGAATATTCTAAAACCTCCAAGCCCTGAAAGTAAGGTGTCGTAGAAATTAGTGAGTTCAGAGCAAATAAGGCTCTGGGGTTTATGGTGAATAGTACAGCAGTGGATTGACTAATTTAGAACTAAAAAGTCTAAAAGGAATCATGCTGAGAGAAGTCTCAATCCCAGCATTGCCAAAATACTTTCCCAAACTCACACAACCAACCAACCAACCAACCAACCAACATCTCCTTCTAGTCCACAGTAAATACAATAAATCCTGTGACAGATTTTCCCTGTTGTCTAAAACCACCTGTCAGTTAACTAGAGCTTTAGATTTGGAAGCCTGATAATAAAAAGAAGGGGGCTTGAATTTGTAGTCTGAATGTAGTTCCTTATGTCATTGTTTGTACAATGCAAGTTCAGGTTTCTTCTCCACTGACAAACTTGTAACAAGCCCATTCAAGATGACTCATGATGTTATTAAAAAACAAGATTAAAGTCATAACAACATCTATTACAAAAAAGTCATTGTGTCTAACCATCAGGAAGGCTGCTCTTTACCCAGGCTTTAAGAAGAGCTTTCTGGCATGTATAATTTATTATTCTACAATAGATACCATTTTTCTGTAAGGCTGTATTTATTTTTTTCTATGTTTTCTATAAAGCTGTACTTTGGGAATTACAATGGCTTGGTCTTGTTTGCTCTACAAAGGATGGAAATGGGAAAATAATGTGGTGGGGTTTTTTTAAATTTGCATTTAATAGCATTGACTTGGAGGCAATACTTTGTGTTCCTTTCAAATTTTCTGTTTCTTTTGACCACTTTTCTGGATTCTATTTAATAAAGCCAAGTATTTTGAGACATTATTTTCCCTATAAAATAAGAAATTTATGTATTTCGTGTGAAACAATAACCCATATCCGTTACTCTGAGAATAAATATGTGAATCATAATGAAAACAGAATGCCAACCTATATTTGAACTTGCTCCCTCAGGTTTTCATGGTCAGTCATACAGTGATGGAAACCCACCAAAAGCCATGACACACAGGTATCCATCTAATTTACAGTTTAAAGCATCTCTGGAAATGGACGGAGTTTTTAATCTTGAAACCATATCACTGGCTTTGTTACAGGCACAGAAGGAATATGTGAATGAATTTTGTATATAGCTAGGAAGAATATCAGGTTCTTAACTCTCCCTTTCCCATTGAAGACATTCCTGACTTCTGTGCTCTCTCTTCTCTTGCTTTCTCTTTGCAGTTTAGTCTGGAATCAGAGGTAGCTGCCTTGCTGCCAAAGTGAGGAGAAAGGGAGGCAAATTACCAATGGAAGTGAGAAGTTTGTAAAGTAACAACACAACCTTCAAGAGCCCTGAAAAAAGCTTAGATGTGCTGTGCATGATATTCACATTATTAGCCCCTGTCCCCTGCTTTCTCAGTGACCTTTGCATGCAGATCAGATCCCTCTGTGCTCTCACTGATTAGACATGTCTGCTCAGCTGTTCCAGTGCTGCTTCTTATTGCCACAGTCCTTTACAAAACACCTCTCCTGGGCTATAGACAAATCAGTAAATAATGCAGCCCATGGAGATATTATTTGGTTTACGAGCCCTTAAAAATTCTCTTCCTTTAAGGATACATTTCAGAGCCAACCTAGAAGAGTGGGAGCTACCTAGAACTCCAGAGAAAATAGAGATGATCTGAAAAAGTTTGTTCAAGGATGGGGAAAAGATGCAGCCTTGCAAAAACTCTGCAAATCACGTGGTTGAGAAGGGGTTACCATCCTTGCCTTGAGGCAGTCTTTGGCTTTTCCCTTGTCAGAAGACACCATTCACAATAAAGTATCCTGGTTTTGTTTATTTGTTTCATATAAGGACTGTTTGAACTGTGACAGTCAAGCTGTAGACAAATTGTTAGATTTGTTATTTTATACCAAATATATAGCAATGAACTTTTTTTACACTTTGGAGAAAATAATCTCACAACAATCTTCTTTCCTCTTCTGTTTATCTCCTAGGATGAAGAGTGTGGAGTCCTTACGTTGAATTTAACAACATGTTTTGCAGGTCCTCAGTATCTTCTCAACATTGTATTTTGGTGCAACTTGCAAATCTGGTCTAACTGGTCATCTCTCACGACAGCAGTTTCTAATTACTGTGAGATTATTCTCATGAGTGAAGAATTTAGCAAGTTGAGCCTACTCTAATATGACAAATTCATATTAGTATTCCTTATTTCCCAGTATTTTAAAAAAGGGGTCTTAGATCACCTAGAAAATCAGGTCCACATTTCCTATCTAAAGTAGTGTTTTATACAAAACATTCTATAAGTGAATACTTTCATGGTACTTTGTGTACCTATAGAACAGGTATTTCAGATTTTCTTGTTGGTAACTTTTATTTTTTTAAACCATAAGCAAAAATTTTTGAGAAATGAGTAATGGAGGAAGTTTTCTCAGCTTTGATACATTATTCTTCTTTGCAATTTCCTGTCTTGATTTTCTCATGCCATTCTGATGATCTCACCGTGACAGACCATGTTCTCTATGTATATCTAAACAACTGCTTTTTGTGTTTGCATTTGTGTTTGCCTTGGAGATAATTTTCCTATTTGTCTGAGGTGGTACATGTATTTGGTTTGATAGCTATTTAAAACTGTCTTGTGGAAATCTGGTCTAGAAGGAAACAGTTTAATGGAAATAATGGAAATATTTTTCCCCATTATATCAATATTTATACTCAATTGTTCAGGATAATATTACACACTGTACTGATTAACAAATATTTGTCCTTTATTTCACTGAATAGTCCTGTCAAACATGCTTCCTGTTGTGTAACATTGGAATAAAGTAAAATAAAAGATGATTAATAGCATATCCTGAAACCATGTGGAATTGATAATGTGAGATCAGGAATATGTGTGAGGAGTAAAGGAACAAGAAGCTGATCAATAAAAAATATTTTCCATCTCAATGTGTGGGGTTTTTAAAATTGTTTGTTTTGTTTTGTTTCAAGACATCCATTGACACATTTACACAGTATGGTGTAAGAGACATATCCACTGCACTGAAACACAAGAATTTTTGAGGTGCCCTGGAGAGGTCAAGTTCTGCTTGATTCCTTTGATATAAAAGCTTTATTGTTTAGACTGCACATCTATTAGATCTAGTCTCATTCCTAGCAGTGCTGCAGCTCCAAAAGCAGAGGTGGCAGGGCAGCATTCCTAGAGCATTTCCTTACTTTCTTTGTGACCTACCCAGACACATCTGCTTTTCCTCTAATGCCTTTCAGGCTGCAGCCAGGAAAAAGACACTCAGCCATCCAGCTGAGAGAGCATCATAATACTACTCTCTTCACTTCCTTCCAGTAAAGTCTTTTCTGCAGGAAAGGTTGATTTGTACAGAGTGATTTTTATTGCCATGATATCTTATGATCTACTTTATGAATATGTCCTCAGACTGAAAATTAATTAAAAATGATACAGGTGTATCTAAGGCTAAAGCAAAACACCACTTCCAATAACAAGCTCATCTGATTTCCTGAAGCAACAACAACTGTACTAAGCTCTATGCTTTCAACGAGAAAGTCCTGTTTCAGCTGCGTAGAAGCTGACTCTTGCAGTACATCATCTCTTGTTGGCTGCAGTGCTGAAAATACCAAAGAAAATATGACCAAGCATGGTCCTGTTTTACAGGAAATCTTGGACAGGGGACATAGCAGCTATCACTTAACCTGAGAGTAAAGTGCTTATGCAAAGACAATAGTCTAGGCTCCCACCATGGCCACTGTGGACAGACAGGTAGGTTCCAGGCATATTTCATTTTGCTTGGATAATTGTTTTAAAGGGAGCCTAGGCTGCTCCACCTAAATGCTCACCACTACAACATTCCTGCTTCCGGCAAACGTTTGCAAATAATCCTTAATAGTATTTCTGTACTTTGGCTCAGGTCTGCCTGTTTGCGTTTGTGTAGTGAGAGAATTTCTGGTAGCGTTTCTGACTGACTCCAGAGCAGATCTGTATGAGTCCTTTTCTAATACTTTTGCTTCAGACAAACATTGTCTCTTCTAATTACAAAATACTTGCTTCCTCTGGGAGCAGCTTTCCTGCTCTCCCAGATGGTGACTGGACCACCCCATACATGTAACACATTTGGAAGAAGTTCCACTCAGATATGGTATTTTCTAGATAAGTTACAGCCTCCTGTTATTGTGACTTCATAGCTGCAAAAGTAAAGATGTTTAAAGGTTTTCACAAGATATTTTAAACACTGGTAGGTCAGTCCTGAAAGAAGGTAGTACTAAAAATCTTTCCTAACCCTAAAAGCTTTCATTACACTCTGCTGACCAGTGAAATGTTTTCTTTCTCTCACCCAAAATATGTAACAATTTTGCAATATTGACCAATGCACAAGTAAATGTGCTGTAGCAATAGTCAAATGCAAAAATCCCCTATGTGTTGCTTATAGACTTCGCTAATTGTCTAGAGCCTCCATTCCTTTGTTGAAGGAAATTCCCTTCTTGCTTATTGTGGGCCCAGTCTAAACATCCTATTTTGAGATAACCTGCATGTATTTGTTTTTCATTTAATATCTACATTCTTAGTATTATCACAGAGCATCAATATCCCAGTTCTTCTGAGACCTTAGCATCTATCAGAATATCATTGAGCTGTAGCAAAAAGACTGATAAGATGCTTTTCAGTAATCTTAAGACTCTCCATTATTTCTAATGCATTGCACAAACCTGAAACTAACATTTAAAGTTAAAACATAAATTAAAACAATTTTGTCCCACTTACTTAGGGACTTATTTTCTTGGTATGCTGACATGTGGTCTGGTGTGGGAAACCAGCCTGGTGCTGCTGCAGTACTCTTTATTTGCAGTAATACATACATTTCCTTGGTATCAGCAAGTTACAGTTGGACTACAAAATCAGGCCTATGTGAGCCAGCAGAAGGGAAGGAGCCCGGCTCTAGGGGAGTGCAAACAGTTCTGCTGATTATGTCCTTAGGTGGCAGACTGACTGAATTGTCATAACTGACAATAGACTTCTACCTGAAGTCTAACACACCTGTGCTTAACAAATGAAAGAAAAAGTACTTGCTTCAATTTAGTGTGAAAAGTTCCCCTTACTCATATCCTGTAAAAGCTGGCCTAAAAAAAATGGTGACTTTATCTTATATCTCATATCCTCTGTAAGTTTCTTTATTGTACACAGAAATATCTTTCCTGGACTAAGAAAACAATTTCTCCCTCTTATCCAGAAAGCCCTTTAGTGTAAACAAGTAAAGCTGCTGTGTTCAGTGAACAAGTCCAGTAGCAATAATAGAAATTATTCCTCCCATCCCCCTGCTGGTTTTCTACCACTTCAAGCTGTAGGCACACAGTTTGTGGTGACTGGGAGTGGGGCTGTGGCAGAGCCTCATCCCCAGTGGGCACAGCTGTGAGCAGCACTGACAGCAATGAGCCATGGAGTGCTCAGGGGCACTGAGCAACCACCAAAGAGAGCAGAGGGCACACAGGTGCAGTGCATGAACAATGAGGGCTATAAAAGGTTGGGCTGAAGGACAAGAAGAACAGCTCCTTGAAGCCTTCTGATTAGGTTTGGTATTACTCTGTATGGGCTTTTTAAAGCTTTCTGAAATTGTGTGATGATCCTCTGTGTATCATGGCCATCTCCACTGGGACATGTCCTGTGACAAGCACATCAAGTATTGCTGTAAGACAAGCCAGTATTGCTGACTTGTATTTTGCATGAATAGGCCCTTTCATGTGGCACTAAGTGCCATTTTTGAAAACCGTTATCTAAATGAACAAGGGTTAATTCTGGTATTGGATTCACAAGCACTCTAGAAATTATTATTTTCTAGGAACCATCAGACATTAATTTTCCATTTTATCAGTCTAAATAACTTCTTAATATATAGCTGATACAGTAAAACTAGGACATCTTATCTACTGACAAACAGATGATAATTCCTAGACTACTTTTTTAATAGGTGAAATTAGTCAGATATATTTTCTGTCATTGACTACATTCTAAAGAATGAAGCCTAAATCATCTTCTTTTAAAGCTATGTAAGTTCCTACCTAACTTCTAAAAGTCAGTTCTCAAAATCAGCTGTAGATGGGATTGTGTTCTCCACTGCTGTCTCCACGTGAGTGCTCTAAGGTTTTGTACCTTTTCATATCATAGCCAATAGAATAAGAAAACTCTTGCCTTTGAGCTGATAGCCACTATTCTCATATATTGCGCAGGTTCTAATGTCTAATCACACACTGCAGAGATTTCCTAGCATTGCTTATATGCATTCTGAAGCTAGGTTTGTGCTTGATGGACAGTTTTATTATGAGAGATTCCCTGATATGATGTGTTTAGAAGTAGAAGGGATGAAAAGCAAAAATAATTCCCAGAGATAGGATGAGCTAAAAGATGGGGGAGAATGTACTGTTTTTTTAATCCCAGAGATAAAAGAGGGGGAGAATGTACTTTGAGTCATCTATGGGCAGGGGTAGGGAGATGCACTCAGAAGGAAATGCAGTATATGGAGCCTGCAGAAGGAAGCCCATGAAAGATGAAGAATGATGCAGACATGTGGAAATCAAGGCAGGGGTGACTGGAAGTGGGACAGGGGAGATGGGCTGGAGGAAACAAAGACTGTGAGGTGGGAGAGGAAGAGGGAGGTAAAGTTGGCCAGCCCCAGTGACATTCACATTCCTGACTCACAGCTACTCCTCACTCAGAGCCTCCAGGTAAAATGGGAAAATGAGTGGAGAGTAACCACAGATGTGCTGCTCTGCACCCAATATATACATTTTCCCTATCTAGTTGCTTCTCACCTTCATGCCTGTTGTACATTGCCTTTTCACCTTCTTCATGGGGCACAATGCCAGGATGAGAGGGAGGTAAACTGACCCAGAACCTCTCCGTATAACAGGGAGTCCTCTTCAGTGAGACTATGGGCTTCTTACCTATGGGACTTCACAGTTTGTGGGATCTTCAACAAGTCATCTTACAACAGCCTGTGGAAACAGCCTGTAATTTT